AACAACAACAATAAGAACAACAAACAAAGGAGAAGCCTTGTAAGCATATGTGTAGAAAGCTGTCGCCCATTCACTGAGGTACAATTTATGAACTTTCAAATCAGTTCTCAAGGAGGTGATACTGTAAGAATACTGTCGGATAGACTGAAATTGCTTGCAAAAAAGCTAATAAGATTTACTTTTCGAACGCAAACTATTTAGCGTGTTGAGCTGTAAAAATTGTTGTTACCATAGTGCTGTCATTAAAATCTAAGTTATCCTGATAAAATCCATTTTCCGACCAGCATGCCATTAACGAATGAAGAAAATTATTAATTAGCGGTCAACGGAAAATTATTAATTAAGGGTCAGTGGAAAATTATTAATTAAGGATCAATTTAAAATTATTAATTAAGAGTCAATAGGAAATTATTAATTAGCGATCAATAGAAAGTTGTTAATTTAGGGTGAGTGGAAAATTATTATTTAAGGGTGAATGGAAAATTAGTAATCAGCGATCAGTGGAAAATTATTAATTAGCGATCAATGGAAACTTATCAATTAGTGATTAATTGGAGGAAGAAAATTAACACTGAGAATCGAATTTGCGAAGCTCGAGGAAAAGATTTAAAAGATCAGAGCGCAGTGGAATCGTCCTAATTGTAGAGTAAGCCTGCAGTGCCAAGATTAAAAGGGTTCATTTTTCTTGCTGATAGCCATACAGTTACATGGAATTTATGCCAGTGCTGAGAATTAGGTGCTGCATTAAAGCAATATCACTTAGGTAATGATTTTCTTTATTCTCGTCACATTCCTGCTTGATAATGTATTGAAAATGTAACAAGAAATTACAGTTTGATCACATCTGGCAATCAGAGTGCTAAAGGTATACGCAATGATGATAAAAATGGATGACAGGCCAAACAGGACTCCTATTGGTCAAGATAGGACATCTTTGACCTTAAGGAGTACGTTTTTTAAAGATCTCCCTTTTCTGTATGAAAGCAGGGGAGGGTCTTTATAGATCTCCCTTAGCAGAGGCTGATTTT